GACTTTGGAAAAACAAAACTGAACAAAACACAACGTTTCTCAGCTTGTATGAATCCTTGATACCACCATAGATGGAAATTTGCTTAAATTCAGAGCTGTTTTGTCTGTGGATGAGAGGAATTGGTCATCAGTCTCAATCTCTCCCACCTTTCTATCAACTGTCATCAGAAAGGTTATTTTCCTTGTCAGTGAAGGAATGGAACACATTACCCCTGGTTCAAATGATATACTCACTAAAGAAAGCACCGTAAAATTGGGCATTCCTTGTAGACACTAGACTCTTGATAAGAAAAAAAGTCTAATTTAAATTTTCAAGAAACTATCAGTAATAAGATAAAGAAATTCAGTACAAAAGCAGTATAAATACACAGAGACCTGAATTCTTTATTACTAACAAATAGCCTGGACATACTGATGGAGACTGGAGAACGTGAGCTAACACAAATCTTTGCAACTTTGTCAAATGGATCCTCCGAGAAAAATATTTTCACTTTTAAGAAACACTCTTAAATTCTCTTAAATCTCATTTCTAAGAAGATAAAAGACATCACTGCCTTAAACAGGCAGTAAGCTATGCGCCAGTCTATCCAATGCCAAAGCAAAGAAATCCTATCAAGAAAATCATCTTCTTGCAAATACTTGCATTCTAGAAGATGTGGTTAAGTGTAGTGCTTAATACAGCAGTATAATAATATAAGGAAAAATGACCTGCAGCACAATCAGGAGTGCAGAGCCCTGATGAGACCATCTGATTCAGTTCTCATTTTGGTGGTTAAGAGTTAGTATGAAAAGTAGAAAGCACAGAGATTGTCTTTCTTTGCTTCTGAAGACAAAATAGAAAGTGGATCCAAACTGCTAACAAAAAAGAAATCCACACTGAACACACTTGGTTTAGAATTTAGTATTTTGACAGATAGTTCTGGAGTGGCAGATTCAGGCTGCACCAAGTCCTAGTCAGGCAGGTTTACAGAAGAGAACAGAGATTTGAGTACTGGGCTTTTTCTGATGCCATTTGATTCTAGTTTAAAGCAAGCAACTGACCTTGAATACTTGACCTATTCTTTATAAAATAAATAAAGGTAGAGTCCATAGAGTCCATATTGAAATCCTTTGTTTCATACAAGTAGCACATATGATTGTGTGCATTACTTCTTTGTAATCTACATTACTTTGTTTTTCAGAATATGGACCTAATATGTAGTCTATCAATATCTTTATCAGACACCTACAATCTGTTCATTGGTTTATTGTTTTTATGTTATATGCCCCAAAATATCTTCTACTGGTGTAGTACATGATTTCTCAATGCTGAATCCAATAAGATGCTGATATTTAATGATATCGCACATTATTTTCCTCTAAGTCACTGAGGCAGACTGAATATCTTCTGACTATGAAATAGATGTAAATTGACAGAGAGGTGAAACATGTAAGATATACTGAAAGATCGCAACAATCTGGAGAAAACTTTCTGAGATACTGTATGTCCTTCAGTGCTTTTTTCTTGAAGGTTCCAAACAGAAATGTAGGTTCTAATTTATGGTTCTAATTTAAAAATGTTGTTCCTGGTCATATTCAAAGCTAGAATTGTCTGGATTCATTTACAAATTTTAATAAGTGCTAATTTCCAAATATGTAAATCAAAAACATATTAAAAAATGCTTAGTGTCTGGAAAGAATGTGATTATTATTCCCGCTATGGAATATGCAAACAAATAGAGCACAAAAACTTCTCCAGAAATGAAGTGGCTAGTAAGCTTTTCTTTAGTATTTTCTTTCACAGGAAAAATATTCAATCAGTGTAAGTACGCTTTTTTGCTGTTTGTAACTTGTCTTTTATGGGCTAAAGGAAATTGCAGCCAGCGAAGTTGTGCTACAGATACAAACATTGGGACTAATAAGAAGTTAACTTCAGCTATTGTACCTTTATTATCTCCACCTGTTGGTTTATTAAAAATCTTATTGTATTACAATTGTTGTTCCTAAGAATAATAATTATCTTTGGTGATTAGCTCATCATATTGTTTCAGAGCTGGTTGATGCAATTTCAAGCTCAGTGTGTGTGGAATTAAATCTTTCATTCTCATTAAAACAATAAAGAGATGGCAATTCCCTCAGTCACTACCCTCAGAATTTATTCAAGTGAGTTAACTAGCAGAGCAATATAATTATTGGAACAGAGAAACAGGAATTAGCAAACTGTTTCTATTTAGGCTCATGTGTTTTTTTTCTTTCCCTTTTATACTGTTTTGTTTTCCTAGACTTTGGTGAACAAACTTCTCCATCTCATCTGTGAGGCATTTAAGTAAGGTTTTATTTGTTGAAAACACATGCTTTTTCAGTTATCCTGTAGATGCAGTCTGGATCTTTGACTGTCAGAGGCAGAGATTGAGTAACTTTGCTGAAGCTCAAGCCCGTTTACGATCTGAGTTACTCAACTATTTGCACTGAACTCTGGTATACTTCTTAAAAGGGAAACAAATCAAAGTGAAAGAGAGGAAAAACAATGTAATGACTGAGAAGATTTAAAAAATAACACAAGAATTAGGACATTTACAGTTACTACAACATTTCAGTTGTCTCTCCTGTCCACTTTATTGTCCTTTTTTAATTTATTACATGAATTTGTGTTTCATCCAGGACAATTTAAGGTCTGAAATCTTGTTTAGGGAGATTGGTTTTCTGAAAGGACTGAGTATTATAGATGTAACTCTGCCAAGATCCATCCACTTCACCATGGCAAACTCCTACCAGAAAAGACTTTCCCAGAGTTCCTCAGTGAAGTATCTACAGTTTTGTCTATTCTCATGCAGGTGGTGTAAACCTGGACTTTTGCCATTCACTCTGTGTTCCTTCACTTCGTTCTTCCCTTCACTTACATTTTCTATCTCTATAATAACATAAATTTTTCAGTGACTGTCTTGTATCTCTTCCATCATGAACTGTGAGGATCCACTTAGTTTTGTCAGTCCCTCTTTTGTTCCCCCTTCCATGCACCCCACTAGAGCCTATAGCGCTTTGCTAGCTGGCAGTCACCACCTGAGCTGCTCACCTCAGGGACTGAGTTTAACTGACTTAAACTGTGTGAAAAAGATGCCATGAAGTTTGAAAATTCTCCAAGAAACCGAATTTTGGCTTCTAGAGACAAATATACTGTCTAAAGTAAAAATAACTATTGTAAATATGTTTGAGCACCGGAAGATATTTAGTTGTTGCATAAAGGGAATAGTAAACATCCACTTCAGTTTAAGCATGTCGGTGTTAGAGTAGTTCTATACTACTCACATGCATCTCTGATCTAGAAATTTGGGAGATTCTTACTTCTTACTTACATTTAAAATGTTCTATTATCTAGATAACTGGAATTGTTTCTTCCCTTAGGTTAGCTTAGTGAGTTGACGTTGCAGCTGGTATGTAGCAGTTTCTCTCTGTTGTTCCTTTCTTCTCACTTTGTTTTCTCTTCTCTGTGTGTTTCCACAGGCTGCAGAGACTATCCACTCCTTTATGCACCACTCTCTCCTTTAAACTCAGTGTTCCCTTTCTCGCTTCTCACTTTTTTTTCTTTTTTCCTTTTCTTTTTTTCTTTCTTTTTTTTTTTTTTTTTTTTTTTTTTTTTTTTTTTGGTGTCTGCGGGCTCCTCTCTCTGGTGTATTTTGTTCTTCCCTACATACATTTTCAGAAAACACAAACTTCCCTCGTGGACTCAACTGTGATTTGAAGAGAGATTGAGGGCTGGGGATGTTCAGCCTAGAGAAGGGGAATCTTGCTAATCATCTATGCTTATCTAAGGGAGAGTGTGAAGAAAGAGGGCTGGACTTCTCAGTGGTGCCCACTTCAAGGACATGATGCAAAAGTGACAAAATAAAACATAAGAAAAATCTTTTTAAATGTGAGAGTGGTAAAACACCCAAACAGATTTCCCAGAGACATTGTAGAGTGTCCATTCTTATTGGCATTCAAAACCAGGACAAAGCCCTGGACAAACTCTTTAGCTGTCTCTTCCAAGTTCAAGTATTCTGTAATTCTGTACAATTTATGACTAAAGACTATATATATACACCACCTATATTGCTTATGTCAAATTTACTCTTATTGAATTGATTAGAATTTCACTAAAGCAAGTAATAACACTACTCCTTTTTTGCATTTTATAGATTACATTTACATCTGTAATGATAGCCAAAAGTTAAAGAAAATAAATTAAAACAGTTGTCTTAATGGAAGGAGTACAAACAGGCTAATTTCAGAGACTTGCTTCCCTTTTATTCTTCATTACAATACTGGCATCTGGGTAAATAATTCATTCTGAGAATTCTAGATTGTGTTTTAAAATGATTTGTCTTTTTCCCTCCCTAATATGTACATTTGATACACATCTTCTCATAACACAAACCACTTGCTTCATTCTCATCTCTCAAACATGTCTATTTTACCCACACTATACCAGTAATCAAGCTCAGATAAGTCTTTGCAAAACAACGAATCAGAATTAAATCTTACCTTATAATTTTTTGTGGGGAAAGAAAAATCTAGTACAAAAGTTATTAATATCTCTCAGATATTGCTAGGAAATACAGAAGAATTAATAGTGCTTTGATGTATAAATATTCAACTGCATAACTATGTTTTAATAGGAGAAATAAATCGTTTATGGAAAGTATACTAAAATGCACCTAGTTCAGGCTAGACAGCCAACTCTGATTTATTAAGGTAATATAACTTTTGTGATACAAAGTTCACTTTGTATGTTTATAAACTAAATGCTCAGGATTGCAGTCTGAGAACTTTGAGGTAAAATACTGAAAAGCCTAGGCTTCCCCAATACCCAGCCCTAACTAAAATTTCCAATATAGAAAGGGAAAAACTCAAATAAAGATGGCAATAAGTTCCCAAAGGTCAGGTTTATGAATTATATCCTGGTATTTTGAAGGCAAGGTAAAGGAAGATCATGCCTGAAATAAGTAATTAGAGAACAGAGAATGTCAGAGAAAGTTTCTTACCTCGGCAGTTGGGTAAAGGGCTACTCCACTGCCCATTGCTTCGGCACTGTGCTCGAGAAGCACCCTGAAGTAAGTATCCAGTATTGCAAGTAAAATTGACAACATCATTTAAATTGAACTCACTGCCATTAGTCATTCCGTGAGCTGGATTCCCAGGATGTCCACATGTGATTGCTGTTAGAAGAAAAATAGGCAGGTTAGCATCTAAGTGAAAGGCACTGATCCACAGAATCACTTGCCAGTTGAGCTCTTTTAAGGTTTGGGATTCTTTTGTTGTTTTGGTTTGTTTGTTTGTGTTTTTCCCTTCTGAATTTGTTGTTGATATTTATACAGGAAATTTAGGAAAATAAATTAGGAATATACTAATTCAGAATTCTTAACTGCCAGGAGA